GCATTTCAGGGTTTCATCATTGTTGATAATTGAATTATAACTTCTTATTAAAATGGTTACATGATTATACTGTTCTTAAACCTGAAATCTTTAAATTAGATGTAATTGATTATAAAGTGTTCTAAAACGTTGTTTTGGTATAAAGCTAACCATACTGTAAATCGCTTACAACACAAAATGGAGTCTAATCAATTCACTGGTCGCGACTTCCCGACTGTCGCGGCATAACCCCTTCGCTGGGACGAATTACTCCTGGGATATATCATAACCCTCCCCTGGGATGAATTATCCTTTGGATAAATTCGCAAAAAAAAGTTCAAAACCTGGCTAAGGGAGATCTGAAAAGCCCTGTGCTTCTCTGGTGAAGTGTTCCAGCGAGCTAATTTAATGCTCTTGGGTAGTGCCGGAAGGAGCGAAACGGCTCTTCTCGATTGTTAGGAAAAACGGCTGTCCCGACAATACAGCCATTTTCGGCCCGCCTCTGACTGAGAGCCTGTCACAGACGATTCTCCCGCGCATAATAGAGTCAGTCGTAAAAGACTGACAGTGCGGCATCGGGATTCGAGCTTTTTAATTAATTTTTTCAAACAATGTACCGTAGAACTTCATACAACGCGCGATGTACAGTTTCATTGTTATATGCTAACTAAATTTGATTTTCAATGGTGAAGGGTTAAAGATGAGATTAGTTGAATACCTTGTCAAACTTGTAAGAGGTCATAATTAACGGATTAATCCACCTTAGACAATAAATAACAAGACAAATCACCATGGGCTTTTGCTATTGAACGAGTGAACCAATATTGTCGGCTTGTTAGCGACAACGCAAATTAGTTTAATCCAGCGGCAAGGAAAAGAGGGGTTGAACTGATGAATTGAATAGATACACAGGAACATCTTTGGCTAAAGCTTTTCATTCTTTACAATGTGAAGGTTTGTAACTTCGTATTTTTTCGGGAAAGGGGTGCAATTAAGATAAGTGTATGATTATATACAGTGTAGATATTCAACGCTCACTTGTCGCTAGGTGTTCGACTACAAGCTATTCGTTATTAACTATTTTTTACTCATTTCTCATAAACAGTCGATACAAGACGGCAGTTAAGGAAAGATTTAGCGGCGCAAACTTAAACAAGACCAGTATCTTAAAGATTTTAAAGTTTAACCAGTTTTGGAAAGGTTTGGGCCAAAATGCGACATAGCAACTTAGTTTATAAGAATGGGTGCGATGTTGTTAAATCAAGAGCTTTTCAGGCATCCAGAAGTTATTTTGTCAAAATTTTGGATTAGCACTTTAATCTGGATTCATTAAACCAACAACAAAAGCAAACATCCAGCTAATATCTTATAATTGTCAGTTTGATTTGTTGATTTATTCCCGCGGAAATACCTTCCGTTGCTGCATGTATATACATAAATACACCCTAGCTACAACCATTTGGGGTTCCACACCATTTTCAAGCTTTGAAAAAAGCTAATACTGTATCATTTTGAATCGATTGATGTTTTTCTTGCTAATTGGTAGGATGGGGAGAGAAAAATTTTTGTCACTCAAAGGCGTTAAAACGTGCCATGTAATGCCGGTGAGAACGTTTTCTTTTCAGCTTTTAACTCCATGGTTTCTTTATAATTTTTCATGAATTTGTGCCACTCAAGGGTAAGGATGAATTTGCGCCATATGTATAAAAATATGACACTCAACTTCCCAGCAGGGTTTATCAGTTTCCAAAATTCTCTTCCGGAGGATTGATTTAGCCTCTTTAAAAGTTGGTTTTAAGCAAATTTGTTTTTTGACGATTGCTGCAATTGATAAACTGAACGAACTCTTTGCTGGCGACAATTCAACGAATTGAAATGTGCAAATGAATACCAACAATTGAAGATCGCAACGGAACGAAAACTTCGACGAACTCGTAACAACATCAATAAAAACAACAAGCAGAGGGAAATTTGACAAAATTTGTCAAAAGCGTTAAGTTTCTCAATCTCCCCTTCCGTCTTTAAACGGTTCTCTTTCAAATCATTACACAGAGCCACGATTGTCTTTAGGTAAAGACATTCTCATATTCAATTTCTGATATGATCACCTGTACGTACACTACTTACAACAAAGCCTATTAACCGAGACAGAGAGCAATTAATAACGTCAAAAAGCAACTCAAATTATTAAAGTGATCTAGAAAACATCAGTAAAACTGTTTGCAATTCTTACTTCTACATTAAAAATTCCTAGTCACTGATATTAAAAAAAATTCAATGACCCAAGCGATAATTTCATTCATTCCTTGGGGTTAAGTTGTTCATTCAAAAGACAATTTTAAAGACGACAATCGAAACAATAAAAACAAAAGGGGATTATTGGGATTGGAACGCAAATGGTTCTCGCATAAACCAATTATGACATTTTTGTATTGACCGAGACATGTTTCAGCCATTGAAATTAATTTATCGCAGTGTGAAACTAGATTCCATAGTACTTTGACCTCTGTGGGATGCAAAAATGTTGCTTTTGTGCTGGGAACCATCAAGAAGATTGTCGTTTGTAGACTGAAAGTGCGTCTATGCTAGGTACGTTAGTCTTATCACATTTTGTTTTCTAAAGTTTATTAGTTTAACTTATATTATGTGCAAACGTTCATTCAATGAGCGGTTGTTTACAACTTTAAAATTAGAGGACGAAAGTAACTTCTGCCCAAAGTTCATGACGCAAAATATCCATAAAAATCGACTAAGCTGAACAAATTATTCATAAAATAGTTTTGCCAAGACGATAAAAGCGAAAAACTATTTCTTTAAGGATTGCAAGCGTCTCAAATGTGATTACAAACTACGGAAATACTGGTAGAAATTAATGTATGTGTTTATCCTGTTTAACTGACAAGATAACCAGTTTATCTTGGGACGAGCAGGTAATTTAGTGTTAACAACTGGGTTGAAAAGGTAAATTAGCCACCGTAAAGGGTAAAAAAGCCGATGTTTCGAGCGTCAGCCCTTCGTCAGAGCGATTGAATCGATTCAATCGCTCTGACGAAGGGCTAACGCTCGAAACGTCAGCTTTTTTATCCTTTACGGTGGCTAATTTACGTTTTCAACCCAGTTGTTAACGCTAAATTACCTGCTATACTCTCCCACCGACGCAGCACCACAGTTTCTATAGAAACTCGCCCCTTTATCTTGGGACGAGTTTGAAAGATATAAGCATGAGCAAAATGTGGCTTGCACATGCAAGAAAAATCTCTTTAGGAATAAATATCTAAGGTCACTTAGTGGTCACCGAGGCCGATAAAAACTTCACCTGCATTTGAAAAGGGATATATAAACGATTTAACTAAGCCTTTGCCTAAAATCGCATCTTTGTTACCACTGTACTAATGGCGAGTTTATCACATAGAACGAGCGTTTCGGGAATCTGGGCCGTGAAGTAGAGAGACAACCTTCTCGAAATTATGCGCATACAAGTATTTAGTACCTCAACACGATTTGACGTGTGCAAATCACTAAATTCTAACGGTATAATTCAAACTAGCATTCAGACGGCTATTTACATAATAAGCTATAATTAGAAAAAATACAAGGTGGTTTAGAAAAGCGAAGTGTTTCTTTTGTTTTCTTCGGTTCTTTTTTTTTTGGCGCCAAGCTTCTACAATGCATACTCGTCCTTATCACCAGGGTCTCTCTTCTTCATGTTCTCAGAGAGCCTGGGGTCCTGGTTCTGATGAGCTTCCTTTTTTTGTTCGGTCGTTTGCCGCGAAACTCATACATTTGCTCGTTTTTAAATTTAGCGTTGAGTACACTTGACGAAATCGATGAAGAGAAAACTAGTTTATCCGTGTTGGAAAACAGAATGGAATAGAATACCCAGTTCTAGCGAGAGATTTTTGTAACCCCAAAAACCCGACCCAAAGTTCACTCTGTTCACAGCTTTCTATGTATCTTTTAAACGTTTAACGCCTGGAGAATATAACTAACCAACTAACTAACTAAATGAATGGATAGATAAATAAATAGGTAAATAATGTTATAAATAAGAAATAAAATTAACTGATGAAATTAATATCAAAAGATACGAAAACACGCCAGTGACAATGAAAAACTGACATGAGTAATATCTTTCGTTCTGGTCTGGCGGTCGCGTCAATGTTATCGATTACATGATGGTTGGTCTCGTCCACCTTGTGAACACGAGAACAGCTGTAAACCGCCCTCCGCCTTGTTGTAAACAGTGCAGCGAAGGGCGCGTAACCTTGCTTTTTCCAGGTGGGCGAAATGAAAACCGAAACAAGTTTGCATAGAGAGATAAGTGATGGATTCCTCTATCTCGCAATTAATGGCTTCCGTGTTTAGGCAGAAAAAACCTGTAATAAAATAGTCGAAGTCTGAGGTTTACTGACAGAGTATTATGGCTCTCGCTGGTTCAATAAAGGTCTCCTTTTCGAAGTCCGATTGTTATTTTAGAAAAACTTAATTTTAGCCGGCAGTGTTCATTGCACAATTGACATAGCCTGAGGTATCGATTTTTTTCTGTGAAATGTTAGGCGCTGTTTAACTTAGCTGTTAAAAGTGCTTGCAAATCAAATTGTTGACTTTTTTGTCTTTTGAATGCCTTTTCTTAAAATTTGCACCCGTAAACCATTCAACCTACCGGAAACATTAAAAAAACTAATTCCTTTGTTGAAAATTCAAAACATGATTGTTGCTCGTGTGTAAGCGAATTTAACATATTACTGGAATTAAATGAAATACTTCAAAAAATTGTTACTTTTTCAGTTTGCTTTACAGAAGAAGAATGTCACTGAATAATATAAACTCCATACTGCTTGAAAAAAAATCAAAGTAATTACGGGTAATTAATCGGATGAATACAGCACAACATAAGTTGGCAAACACGTGTTTATGCTTATTATATGCGATGCCCTCTTATCAATATTCATAACAGCATGTTGCTATACATCAGCAGATGTTATCCACGTGTAACAGAAGGTAGAGATTTGAAAATAGCATGTGCTGAAAACAGTAGAATACCTGACTTGGAGCTGTTAGTGATATAACAGTACGTATTCTTGGCGGATGTGATTTGGGAACGTAGTTTTTGGGTCAAAAGCACTAACTTGACTTGGTGATAACCCTGGCGGTAAGATAAATTTTGTCTCAGTTTCATCTGCAACAAATTCATTTTCTCTCAAATTAGGTTGAAAGATTGCCGTTTATCGTTGCATTTCAAAAACAAAACTGATGTTAAAAAAGCTTTGTTCGGTTGAATTTGAGGTTACGCCGAAAGAGCTAAAACTCACTGCATAATAATAGAAATAAAGATTAAAACAGCCTGTTTTCATAAGAAATATCTTTACGTTGATGTTGAATCAACGAAAAATGCTTCAGAATTTTTTTCTCACTTCTTTATAAAGTCGGTGAACTGGTGGTTTTTGAAAATTTCCAATGAAGACTACTTGATCGGAAGTTATGGTAAATTCTTGAAAAAAAAAACTGAAATTAAAAGAAAAAATTGAAATTTTCACATTTCTCCAAAAATTAATTTAGTTTTTGTATTAGCGGAAACTTGGTATTCTTTCTAATAATTGAGAATTACAAAAAACTCATTTTTGATAAATTTCAGTTTTTTTGGAGTGTTTGTTTTTATAACACACAATAAAGTTGCAGATTTTTAGGTAAAAAGAAGACAACAATAGAATTTTTCCAAAACTGAATAATCAGTTGAGGATACACTATACACTATGTTAAACTCTCACTGCGTCTTTCAGTTATATATATTGTGACTTAAGTTCGGTTTTTTTTTCAGCAATCTTTACTGTAACCTCTAAGTATAATGCAGGCTTTGAGATTTCTTTATTCAATCGGAGCACCTTTAGGTCTTGTAATAGTTCGTATGATATCCACTTTTCTGATACGAAAAAAGATCCTAAAACAACTTCACGGGTGAAAATCATATGAAACCTGTTTCCCAATGCAGCATGCGATCTAAAATAAAACCGATTAAGTCTCATCGCACGTGCGCCAAAGAGCTCCGGTCGATTTCCAGTCCAGAGGGCGTTGTCTTGCGGCTGGTTGATCAGTTTTCTTTTCTTTATTCAAATTTTAGCCGGTTTAGATCCACGCAAATAGAAACACTCTTTACTTAATGGAAAAATTGTTTCTTTCCTGTGTAAACAATCTTCAGTAAAAATTTATTAAAATTCATCAGACTTCTTTGCCATAGAAGTTAAAAATAGATACATTAATTCTGTTGGTTATGATACCAAGGGAAGCCCTCAAAAACGCTATTCAAAGCAAGGAAACCATCCCAGAAGCCGCGATGTAAAGTTTTAGTTTACCATAGGCTCAATTTGACACATAGCTGAACTAATCAGGATTTCTTGTGAATTGAGTCAACCTTGTTTATCTTTAGAGCGACATGGTAAGTTAACCGCATGTAATGAAAAATATTTTAACGGGAGTACCTGCTTTGCCTCGGCAACGAGTTGATATATATCTTTGTAAAGATATAGAAAAGTGTCAGTTGCTGAAACTTTGTTTTCAAATGCAAATTGGTTTTCAACAAGTCTTTGCTTGTAGCCTTCAATTCGGGATTACTTTTTCGCCTGTCGAGGTTATGGGAGTTTTCAATACAATGAAAATGATATATAAAAGTTTAATCGAATTTGTCCCGAATTAAATGACTGCGATTTGCTTGAAACAGAATTATGAATATTCAACTTAATTGATTTATCCCCAAGAAAGTTCGGCACGCGTTTGTGAAATGGCATGTATCAAATATATTCATAAAAACAACCCGAAGCGTTTTTTCTTCTAGAGGCCATGCGACTGACAAGCTGTCCGCGGGCTTCTTTGTTACACCGACTCGTTTGTACATAACAAATGAATGATTTTATTCATATGTTAATGCAGCGCAAGCTCTAAGCACCTCTGCCACTTGAATAACTTGTTTTGTCTTCTTTCACACGAACAGCATTATTGCTCCCTGAGGAGAGACAACGAGCTTCTGTGATTGGACCATCCATCACAACTGCGGTTATCGAAATACTTCTGCCTCGTGCCATTAGGAGAACAAATTAACATCGTTGTTACTAGTTCGGTTCATTAACCAGTCAGTCAGCTAAACAACACAGCCGCGATGGAGTACTGCACGTCATTCAAAGTTGTTCGCTGGCTTCTGTTATTGACTTGTTTCAACTCGGTGTGTCCCACCAGCTTGGAAGAAGATTGCATCTGGCGAGGAAGGTAGGAAAATAACTCAGTTTTGGTAGTTTACTGTGAACAGAAGACGTCAGTAATTATCAGTGCGGAAAGATTTTTAATAAACCGAGCGCGTGCCAAATGAGTATGTGGTGAAGACTCGAAGCTGCAGTTCTAAGAAACAATTATTAAATACCGTAACCAACGCGCAACTTCCCCTCGACCGGTATTCTTTGGTTTAATTTTGCAAGTTTTTGAGTTACATCGATATGTCCGCGCCATTTTATGACCAGCGCAAGTTTAAGTGTTTTGTTTTGATAGTAGGCGATAGTCCGCGTAAATCGTTGTTGTTAATTTTATGAAAAGAGTTTTAGATAACCGTATCTGAACTTGTTCTTATCCGGTTGACAGAAAAGAAACAGATTTGTTCGATGAATGGAAACCATGCTCAAAATACAAAGTTTCCCAGCAATGACGTTACTGGATTGTACACACGAACTATCAAATTTGACAAGCAATTATGAGACAACACAATGTGAAAAATTTCAAGGTCTACTTGGTAAAAAGCTTGGTAAAACACAGTTGATGGCGAATCTGTTCCCCTTTTTCCAGTTTTCATGAGTGCTCTGTAAAATTAGTGCAACGTCGTGTAGAATAATGAATTCGAACTTGTTTTCTTTTTCATCTGGAGTATTAACTGTCTGTTTGGGCACGTGCTTTGCTTTTGTGTTTGCGGAGACCCATTGTTTGAATGCGCGCAAACAAAAGGAACAGCGAGTGCGTAGTTCCCGATTTGCCTAACAGAATTGTGTTATTGTTCACTTTGCTTCTTCTCTTTGTGTGTTTTTGCAATTCACGAGAGAAAGTGGAAAACGCATGTTCTCTAACAAAAAACCGGAAACAAAAATACAAAACCATTTTACCATCCCAACGTCTTTTTTTCGGCGTCAAAGTTATTCAATCAAAATATAACCGCATTCAATCAAAATATAACCGCCAGGTGCTGGTATAATTTAATTCTGAAGAGGGCTCTCAGGCCCATATCACGAAATTTATCACGGCAAAATGCGCGCAAGTTTTCTTTCTCACATAAATAATTCAACCAAAGAATATTCTGGAGGCAACACGCTAATCCAAATAACTGTTGACAAGATTTATAATCTCGATAAGAGACAAAGCTGATAAAGGAAAAAAATTGAAAAAATTCAAGCTTTTCGCCTTAGGAAAGTGTAATGATATTTGAGATTTGGAATATCAATGAGCTCTTTACCTTATCTCTGATTAAAATCGTATTGGCTGTTTTTAGCCATCTTTTGCTAAGAGATAGATAGCTTTCCCGCTAAAAGACAGAGAAAGAAATATTCTCAATTATTGACGAAAATATGCGACATCTTTTTGGCAAAACCTATCTTACATTTCGTTTTGTCGCCAACGCACAAGTTACGCATCTTTAGGCATGAACCATGCACTTTGGACTAAAACCGTTTTTTCCGAATGTCGTGACCTCTGATAAGCTTTATTTTATATTTTGTCGGAATGTTTCGGGTGAGTAACATCAGTAACGTACATTTTGCCTTTACACAACCTAAGTAACGTTATTAAGAAAATGGCGCGCAATATCTAATTCCATCTTTTGGAATTATCTGCTATCTGAAATGTGAGCTTTGAAAATGTGAAAAATATCTTTAAAACGTTAAAGAAAGGAGTTTAGAGTATGGTGAATCGCGTAACACTTCACATGCTATGAAAATTGTTTTTTTGAATAAGTTCAAGTCGCGTATCACTCTCCAGTCTTTCCACATACTCATGTAATGTGGGCGCCTTCTTGAGCAAAACTCTCTCCTGTCAAGGGCGAGTAGTTCTTTAGTAAACAAAAACCTCAAACGAATCGCCACACTAATACATTTTTTTTTGGTGCACCGAATTCCAATTACATCCTCTTAATACAGGTTCGACTGTAGCTTACATAAAATTTCTGGTGGGCTATATTGCGAAGTTTTTTGCTAATATGAATTCATTTCTTCTGATAGAAATTGTCGTCGATACTGTATGTATGACGTAACCAAAACGCTGCCAGTAATAACTACTGTGTCCCTGTAGCTAATGAGACTTAATATAGCAACCCCGATGTATAATTACTCTTTGAACTTCCTTTTGCCAGCGGTGTTCCTCGTCAAGAAAGGCCATCAGTAGTCAGCATAGAGACCAAGTGTCACCAAGGGGAACTTCATTGGTCAGACCCTTTTGGTGGCCTGCGAGTCACGTTCAATCCACGTGATGTGCACGCCGACTATAAACTGTGTTTTACCGCACGGCATCCTGGTGTAAGGATTTACATTGAGTGGGGACAGAATTTGACTTTGTTGAGAGGAACTGAGGAAAACGAGACAAGAAATGCAGTTTGCGTAAAGAGCTCCGCGGCGCAACGTCCAGTGTTGTACCTAGAAACTCAGGAAGACCAAATAATGACACAACTGAATTACACTGTGCTGGTGAATGGTAGAAAGAGACCCATACATAAAAGACGAAAAGGTAAAATGACTGAGAATGAATTCTTAACATGACACGCAACGCAACGTTGATCGCACACTCTTGTAGTTGTTTAGATCGATGCCGTGGCTTTAGCAGGCCATAATTGTGTTCAATCCCTGCCTGGGTCATCGTGTTGTGACATGTGACTCTAACAGTGCCCCTCCTCGCCAATGATTGGCTGCAAGCTTTACGTAAAACTTGACAACCCTCGGAGGGGGGGGTCTGGAAAGGGTTAGCACCCCACAGGGGAGGAGTAGCAATACTCCGACTCGCAGCCTTAATCCTACAGACGACAGTCTTGTTCCCGCGCACAGCCTTTTTCGGAGATAGCCATGATGACGCACATGACTAAATTAAAACCACGGAGGACTTTTCCCCTGACAATTGATAGAACCATCAATAGCAAGAAATTGTCAGCAGGTGAATTGTGCCATAGAATACTCATCAACAATTTGCTTGAACTGGCCGTAACATGTAATTCATTATTTTTTATCCACAGAATGCAAGCCATGTCACTATAGAGAACTGCTCAGATCTTTTTGCGAAGCAAATTTTGGTAAGTATAGATACAGTAATTCGGTCCAATATGGCCATCTTAAAAGATTCTGAAGCTGACGTTTTTGAGCGTCAGCCCCAGGTCAGAGTGACGTAATAGCAAGGGTTTTCGCCTATAGCGACTGGGTCCGCCGTTTTGTGTCTCAGTATGATTGATGATAAACAACATGATTAATATTGATAAAGATAATTATTTCATGCATAGCTAACCTTAAGTTTTCTATTATAGTTGTTCGAGGGTATATCAGGAGACTTATTCCCGTCGGAAATGGTCTGACTGAACAAGCTGATTTTGAAGCAACAGAAATCATCAGACAAGAACATGAAATTTTTGTGAAACACGACGCAAACAAATTCGCTGGGTCTATCAATGTTCCTGGTGGCTGCCATTGGAGAGAAACAATGAACCAGCTTTTATTGTTGACGGGAAACCTTAAGGGTGGTAAAGGACCTGCGCTACAGTGTTATATTCAGGAAGAGGCTTGGGTCAACATTCCCAAAGAAGACATTCTGCATTTCTGCAAAGTGGTTCATGTTTAATTGCGTTGACAACATTCACCTGATACAGGCCCAAGAGTCGACTGGACCCGTAGTTTTATCTCTAAGTTTCGTGATTTAGAACCCACCGGAGTATTGACATTACTCCCGATTGGCTCTAAACATGTATTCGGGAATCTTCGTGCCCTTCCTCACCAAACCTACGAACATTTCCCGAAAATATACCGCTTTTTTCCCAGCCCATGAACAGTAACGCGATTTATAACATATAACTCGTTTCAAGGTCGAGTATATGTAAGTATTTCAAGAATAGGATGCTGGGGAAGTTTTTGGCTCGTCCCCGATAAAAATTATCGTTTATTACCATCGGAAGAGAAAATAAGAAATGTAACTCATTCGCCTTCGTGAGGAAAACTTTGGTTAATTGAAACAACAATGAACGTCCTAAAATATTAGTAAAATTTGTGTTGCAAAGGAAAAAGAAATATACAGTTTTTCCTTGGCGCTCCTCGAATTTCGCAGAATCCTTGAAAAATCAAATTGGAAAGAACTTTTCGATGACTTCTTCAAATCCTCTGAACCCTTACGAGACAAGTCTATTTAAAATTTACAAATCTTCGTAAGGATTTCGTACTTGTTTGTAAAGCTACAAGATATATCGAATAGTTGTAATGGTAAAAAATATAGATATTGTTAATTTTAAGGTAAAGAGATTATTATCTTTGTAAATATTGTACAGGACTCAAGTAAGACTTGAAATATTGTAAACTTTAAAGAGAGGCGCTTTCTTATGAAAGTATAACTAAGTATAAAATTTTCACTTATGTAAACTTTGTAGCTGATTAAAATCAAATATCCTTGAAATCTTGTCTTTTCTTCTATTAAGTTAGCACAATTTCAACAATGTCATTTTAAGAAAACCATCAATTGTCCATTTGAAGTGTTAAGAAACAGACTGTGAAAAGACTACTATCAAGTATGAGATTACACTGCATGATGGTAAAACCAAAAATATCCCAACAGTGCATCAGAACGAAAGTAATCATGTTATGAAGGGGGAGGGGAGGAGACATGCATATTTCAATTCTTTTTCAAACAGATACCTTAACCCTTTAACTCACATGAGTGACCAGGACAGAATTTTTCCTTATAATATTAATACAAATTCAACTACATTAGTAATGAGAATAGAGAAAAATGACAACTTGGAGAAAATTGTTGATCCAATACAAAATTCTCTGAACTAACATTATAAAAATTGTATGATTGACAGTAAGGAGAAATACAAACTTGATCAGGAGTCAAAGGGTTAAGAGTGGTATACATTTTCTAGTACAACCACTAAGCATAGAAAACACAAATAAATTGGATCCTGAGCTTTTTTCAGCATTGCCCTTAGCCTTTCTTAGGAACAGATTCATACGTAGGTTTTTTTTCTTGGGGAAGGGAGGAAAGAGGGGAGCTCTTGATCATAATGATAGGAGTGTCCCATCCTTACTGGACTCTGGTTTGTTCTAAAATAATATTTCAGACTTAGTAAACTTTCTTGATTCTCAATTAGGGTCAATTACCAGGATTTCCTTGCCCCAACCTGAATGGTTGCCTTTTCTACTCATAAATGGAGAAAGTACCTCAATAAAACTGTTGTCAACACCAAGGTTTGACTTTATTTGGAGTGGCTCACAAGTAACAAACTTTCACACAATTGATAATACATGAGCATTCCACTGATCAATTCTTATTTCTGCTGTAACAGGGTATACTACCTCACTCTCAGGAAATTATCAAACATGCAAAATCAACTTTGTACAAGTAAAAAAATGACACATCTCTGCTCAGAACAAGTAGGCTGTCAAAAAAGATATTTAACTTTGAAAATATTATCTCCATGGCTGTCAACATCACTCAAATCTTGATCTTCTAACTGAGGATCTTTGGAAAAAAAAAACAAAGTACAAAAATTATCATGTTCTCATATTTCAATGCTATAAAATATGAGGATAAATATTCAATGCCATATTTTTTAAACAAATAAGTAAACAACACAACCTAAATAATGAGCTGTGCTTTTCCCCAGCAGCATGCAAACAAACTGGAAGCATGAAGTGGTGTGATACTGATATCAAATAATTGACAAATACACTAACTTACATGGGTAAACATGGGGTATTGATTTCATTGTGGCAACTGTATCTTTTGTCCATGGACTGACCAGTGCAAAGATTGGACCTAGAAGAAATAGAAAGTAAGTAAGTTCGAGTGCTACATCAGAGTTCTTAATTATTACATTATGAGAAAATAACACAACAAAAGTAGGCTATATTTTCGGAGTTCACTAGGATCTTGTGATTGAGAGCAAAACTTTTCTAAGTTTATCTGCTAGAGAATGAAATTTGCAGTTTCAAATTAAGAAAAAACTTTTCATTGGACAAAAGAAGAGTCCTCTGCTTAATTTTCCATGGAAAATTCGCTCTTCTCCTCCCTTTAACATTTGCATATATAATAGAAAGGGCAAAAAAATGACTGATGTCCAAGTATTGCTAATGAAATAAACATAGCGTTGTTATTAAAGTAAACAACCACGAAACTTTATAGGAAAGCAATGTTGTCCCTACCTTTTTGTCAACGCACATATGCAAAGATAAGTCTGAACGACATTGAATAATCTTTCGATAGAGATTACATAACCTGTACTTCATTTTTTACTTCGGAATAGCTCCATTTTGTATTGATATAATCAGTATTGGCTGAAGCTAAGTATCTGATCATGAAAGACCTGCGGGATAGTTCAGTAAGCTGAACGAAATTTAAGCCTGTTTTAGCACACCTATCGACTAACAAACATTTCTATACAAACTAACAGACAGTTAAGCTACCTGATATTCCAAAAACACATGACATAAACAGCACAGGCTCCCTTGCCCAAGCAATTTTAAACCAGTCAATAGTCTTTCTCATAACGCCAGCCATCTTAAATCGGAAAGCACTATATAACATCGTCCTAAACCAGATGAGCCCACGACATATCAGCGGCATCTTGTATGAGTATCCGCAGTTTACAATGTGACTTCCGCTTTTTCTTGTTGACGCGTACTCACAGTGTACTCGAGTGTTAGGAAGTTCGCGTAGTGCGTCTGAGCCAGTTTCTGCCAGATTTGAACAGAAAAACAGGTCCTTTGTTGGACTGTAATGATACTTTGATGGCGCTGTTAACGAAATGTTTGGCCGGTTCGTAAGTTGTCAACCTGGTTTCGGTTGATCTGATTGATTGGCAACACCTCTTTGAAAATTCTACACACCATCGACCTAAGCCTCATAGCTGCCAAGTGAGCAGAAGAACAATGACATCAAAATACTCGAGAAAGATAAGTATTAATTTTAATTGCATTTGTGTTAAACTTATATGTACAGAAATTTCTGAAGAGGTACTTAATCAGAAGTTTATCTCATGATAAGCCTTCAAACTTGTATTAAATAAATTGATGTACATATTTCACAATTTTAAGATGATTGTGTGATGACAATACACCGACGGTCAACATTCGAATATTCAGCTTGAGCTTCCTCCTAAATGTTAAGTATTTCAATTTGAACTTGTAGAATATAACCTATGGATTAAATGTGGGTCTATAAGTATCATCCATGAAATTCTTACAGGCAATTTTCATCATGATATTAAAGCACCCCAAACTCAAGAACAAGGAAAAATAAGTTACGCAGAAAACTGAGTTAGGCAAAAAACTGACGGAGAAATTCATAGTTTTCATAATTTTGAATTCATTCATAATTTTGAATTCATTCATAATTTTGAATTACAAATCATTCAGACCATAGCCACATATAGACTTTTAGATTGTCACTGCTTTTCTTTTGGTGATTGCATGATATGGTACCCGTCTTGACGTTCTTGGGAAAGGAACCATATCATGCAAGTCCAGGCAGTTGATGTAGTGTTTGCGCATTTTCTCTTGATCATATGACTGCGCTGTGGGGTCTAGGCCATGGCATAAATCTGTAGCAAATGCCAGTGCAAACAAGCCACAGTCATTTGAATTTGTTTGCTTTTGCACTCTTTCATTAGAAAAAGTGACTGTAGAACCAGTATACAATAGCATGCGACATGAATGATCAATGGCAACCGCGCTTACATTTTGATATAAGCTGTCATACACCTTGACAGTTCCAGGACTAGTAGCTATTGTGCTCAGGCAAACCCAGTGTGAGCCAGTGTTTATGATCTGTACAAACTCACTAATGGCTGGAGTGACTAATGCACCCACAATAACAGGGTCCCTTAGACCATCTACAAGAGGGAATTTTTGTTTTAGGAGGATCTGACCAGCATGTATCTCAGAATCACACAGCCATGTTGTCTTGTTTAAAATGTGATCCTTTGAATCTTCATACAGTGTCAGGGTTGAGGTTGGGTCCTCAGGGTCCTGAAGATGCAACCATGACTTTGGATCAGGAGAGCTGTCAGCAATAACTAAGACAGGAATTTGCTGGTTGTATTCTTTTGTAATGCCAGATGATAGGTTAGTAGAAGTTGTATCTTGCATTGAGTCATCACATATACCTGTGTTGATGGAGATAGTTGTGCTTTTGAGTGAGTGAGTGGCATTTTCTTTGATGAAGGGATGAGTATCTTGTTCAGCAGAGGTCTCCTTATTAATGGCTATTGCTTTCAGGGTGTCACTCTTTTTCCCAGGGTCCTGTGGATGCAACCATGACTTTGGATCAGGACAGTTATCATCAGTTAATGAGACAAGAATTAGCTGGTCACATTCTTTTGCAGTAGATAATATGGTAGTGGAAGTTGTCTTTTGCACTTTTGGTTCATCACATGTACCTGAGGTGATGGGGATAGTTGTATTTTGTGGTAAGGGTGTGATATTTTCGTTAAAGAAGGGTTGGGTATCTTGTTCAGATGTGGAGGTCATCTTCAGGGTGTCATCCTTTTCTTCTTTTTCTCTTTTAATGAAAACCTCTTTTGGATTATTGGCAAGATTATGACAGATATTGAAACTTTTTTTCTGAGACTGTGGCAGAGTGGCTGGTTTCTTTGGCTGGCAAGGTAACTGAATAGGATGACTGTTTTTTCTTTTAAGTCTCAATCGGAGCGGCAAATGAGCATACTTTTTTTTTTGGCACTGAGGACCTGTTTCAAGTGGTGCCTTTTTCGGTTTTGCCATGATGTTTTTCTTTGGCTGAGTAACCTCCATGAAGATACCATTTTCTGATGGCACAAGGGGACGGAAGTTCCCCAGTGCCTTCTGAAGGTCTTGCTTAAGTGATTCTAGGGCTCCACCATCAGCACAAAGGTAGGTGAGATCTCGAATTTCTTTCAACAACTCTCTGCAACATCTTCCTTCATTCTGCACGCTTACTGACTGTTTGGAGCTCTTCCCATCAACCTCTGCTTTTTTTTCTGAATCTTCATGTGCTACAGGACTCTTTGTACTTAATGTACATTTACTGCTATATTCCGTTGATCCTTTTTCTTTCTCTTTTTGGGTTGAATCCTGCATTATGGTACAGTCAGTGGAGGAACATCCCTTGGAAGATAAAGGTGGAACTACATTCGGATCAATCTGGAAATAGGGGCTTGAACTGTAGTAAGGAGACATTGCTTCCCATCCCCATTCTGGAAAATGTTTGTAGATAGCCACAAAATGCTTGCATGGCCAGTGATGTCTTTGCCAGTCAGGACAAGTGCAGGAAGGCATGTTGCTGCAATCACCAAAGTGCACATGGTATGAAATCTTATTGTCACTTTGGCTTTTAACAAGGAACTGGCCATCTCCTTCTTGAGAGATGTCTTCTTTTGTTATTGATTGTGCATGTGTAAGGCGTTGACAGCAGTGGGTAATAAACTGTCTTGGTCGATTGTGTAACCACCTTGGAAGATGTGAATTGTACTGACGATAAGCACTTGAGTTACGCATGTTATTTTCAGCATACCTAGGGAAGGAAATTATAATCCAGGTGATGTTATCAACAGAAAGTATGACTTGGTATTTTATTACCACACAAGGAATGTGGCACTCATCTGATAAAATAGCCAAATGGGAAGTTATGTTGATTTTATATTACGTCATACATGCATATGTATTGGAAGAAATGATACAATCTTCATAATTTAAGTATCATGTTTTAGTTGCAAGAACATTAGAGAGATTTCTGTTTAAATGGTAGTAAGCTTCAATAAGTTTTATTATTTGAACTAAATAGTATTGGGATCAGGAAGACAAATTACAAATAAAACAATATTCTAAATTATGAGTTGCAGTTGTTTGCAGTGCTATTGTTGTTGTTGCTTTTGTTATGCTTTGGTCACCTTGTGTGACCCAGAGTAAGCATGACACCTTTATACATCCTTCTCACTTGTAGAACAAAAACTTTTATATATCTACATTCTCTAAAAACACCTTAGGCCTAAAATCATAGTCATGTGATATCAATATATAACACACTGAGATCTAAGGTGAAGATGAGCTTTTGATTCCTTACCTTCTGTACTCATTTGGCAGAAATTGTGTCACTAAAACTGTGATGACACCACTTAAGGTCTTGTCTCTATTGTCTGCAAGAAATTGGTGCTTATATGTCCTATTCTTTCTTTCCACGCCATTGGTAGTGTTCACTTTCACATTGAAGCGGTCCTTCCTGTATGCCCAAACCCAGCGCTGCCAATAGAAACAAAGTGTCCAAGTAAACTTCATGAATATAAACTGCATGTAATCTGATTTTCATCTTGTGGATCTCCTTGTAAGAGCATCTTGGACCCATCTCAGACTCATGCTGAATGATTAATGGCCCAAAATGACATCATCCAAGGGGATGGCTTGTTTGATGTTTAAAGTCAGAGCGACAAGGATTTTAAGTGAACATAATAAGATGTGTGTAATTTTTAAGCCAAAAATATTGAATTGTTGCTGGATAATTTATAAGGGATAATTCTACAATTATTATAATGTATGCAAGGGATACACTTGCCTGTCTTTCGGGAAGCCATGTTGTGTTCATCCACTTTTGGAGTCTTGTATTGGTCCTCCACAGTTCACTGTCTTGAAGATCTCTAAGTGCTAAATTGAAGTCCCCTTCTGTGGAAGTTCTTGCAAGGTTTCGCAAACTGTTCAGGAGGTTGTCTTTCTTGTCTTTGTTAATGCCATTCTTTGAGTTGTTGATCCACCGTACCCATGCTTGTTCTCGATGGAAATCACAAATATACACAAGACAGCCTGGAACAGTTATAAAACTGAGTTGTAAAATCTCTCTGATAAGAGAATACATGCTGCCAACCACTTCAGCTAACACAAGGCCTATTGTATGCTAAAAATTAAACTACCAACAAAGGGTGCCTAGCATGACCTGTGAGCCATAGAGTGAAATAATAATACTATTATTACTACTACTACTAAAAATAATACTTATAATGCTAATAATAATAATAATAGTAATTTATTACTATCATTATTGTTGTAATATTAACATTGATTTTTTCCAGGAATCAAAAATACACATTGACCCTTTTGCTTCCAAGATCTCAATGTTAATTATCCTTACCATCATCTACACATTTCTTATTTTTTAATTGATTCTAAAAGATTTCCAAAACTTTCTAGGACCAGAAGCCTTTTTGCAGGACTTTCCAGTTGTGCAAATGCCAAAATAAAATTCTGGGACTTTCCAGGTTTTCCAGGACAAGTATGAACACTGTTGATATTTTTATGAAATTAAAGTAATGATTTTGGAATGTCTGGAGAATTACTGGTAATTGACAATAATTTATTGTCATTATTTTCAGGTTAGTCCTGTAAGAAATAATTTTTTTCTTTTTTTTGGAGGGGGGAGGGGGGGAAGAACTTATTCCTAATAAGTATTGCCTCTCTATATTTCCCACTTGAAATAAAGAAAATGGTTATAAAATGGTTAATATCAATATTTACCAGTATATGTTTACATGCTTACTTGGAAACAGCCTTTCAATGGCATTGATCTCAGCCTCACTGAAGTCCACCATAAAGAAATCAGGGTTCCATGTTGGGTTCCAGTCCTTAATGAGCTGTAGAGCTTCATTAATGGCATCTGCATTTTCCAGCAGAACCACAAAAGAAGCAACAACACAGTAATCTACATTGGTTTTCACACACAGAAAGAATGTGGGGAGGGCATAGCGTGAAGTTTTGTATGTTGCATCCAGTAGGCAAATTTCACCACCATACTTAAAAAGCAGCTCTCTTTGCCACTTCGTCTGGTGAACAAGGAGGAGGTTGTTGGATGGATCACCTATACTTATTTTAATTACATCAGTGCTGTCTTCTTCCTTCAGTGACTGTGGTTGTTGATAGGACTCACTATCACTTGTAAGGCAGTAAGGCCTGAAAAAGAAATTATCATCTGGGCTTTCTTCTTTCCACTTCTTGATTTTTAAGTCAAGGTTTTCTTGATCAATTTGTGAATGTCTGCACACCACTGTGGCACGATACATGTGGTTCCTGACATCCATGGTTGTTGGGAAGAACCGTCTGTTGGTTAGATCTGGAGGCTGTTGGCCTGTGAAAAGTTCCTTCTTTACATAATGATGCAGGTGCCGTTGCATTTCAGAAACACAATTAACACCACTTCCAACAAGCTCATGAATTTTTTTAACCAGTGTCTCATCAATAGGCTGAAGTAGCCCAGCAGTCTGATTACACAACAAGAAAGAAAGAATAATTGCTTTATTATTTATTCATTTAAAAAATTACACAACCTCATCCCCAGGTTTTCTTGGTCAACGGTTCAATAACCTGGAGCCAGCTGCTTTTGATGTCATTGGTTCAATATGAGAAAATTTTTTCCAAATTTGGTCAACAGCAGCTGGTTATGATGAAATATGTGAGTGGTTTTAACCTTTCAGAAACAGGGAAATAGTTTGAATTGATAATAATGCAAATTATACCAACATTACTATCGGCAGTCCTCTGGTAGGGCTTTTCAGTAATAGTTACAGAATGTTATAATTACAGAGTACTGAACACTGTATTTTTTAAGAAAATCCATTTAAAAAGTCCATGACAGCATTCCATTAAAACAGTGCCAGTGGAAATCCCTCTCCGATAAAATTGTGATATTATAGTCTTGACATTGAGTTTGAGGAATGAGTGCCAGTGTAGCTAAAAGAAGCTCTACATGTAGTACATTTTATTGGTCTTTTGTTGTGATGTATAATCTTTATTCATTCTTTATATATATTCGACATGACAGTGGAAGCAGCACAGTCTACAGTAGACTGATGATCTGTGTGAAGTTAAGTCACCTTAAATTCCCCACCAAACTTCAGTTTCCTGATTCCAAAAAAAATTTAATTGATGGCCAAGAACTTACCCTCCCCATTGGGTGAAATAAGTGATCCGTAGGTTTAGGAAGTAATATGTAAATACGCTCCTCTGTAGCTATTGTTTGCTTCTTTTCTGACTCAAGGGATGTTCTCAGAAATTTTGACATTGTCTCCCTTCTACTCTTTGTGTTCTCTGAAATCTAACGATACAATGTTTTAATTAAAATAATATTTGAAAAATTGGTTTCTAAAATATTCACTCTGTTTCCATTACAGGTAAATTTGTTTCAATTCTGCACAACGAAATGTCCAGGTTGTCTTATCATATATCCACTTCACCTACATGTAACACAAGGCCCATTAGGATTAAGCACCCTTTATTAGGCTAGTGATCATTCATGTTAATGGTAGTGCCCCCTGAACCCTTATTCAATAATTAAAATAAACTGACCTTATTTTCAGGATACTTGATTATTTTCCTTAGGTGGATCTTTGCTGGACACTCACATTTCTTCGTATCCTGTACTATAAAGCGCTGTTTGGTGTTGTTATAGCAGTGATCAGCATTCTCCTTCTGAAACCAAATAGATTTATTGGATTGTTAGATAGAGCAGTCATATGGGAATAGTCAAGTTATCAATAAACTTAGAAGTAATGAAAAGTATCCTTTAAAATAGTACTTGATTCCTACCTTGTAAACTGCAGTCACAGTGGTCCTTTTTTGCGACTTTGCTTATTTTAACAAATAAAATGTGATATGTCCTTTTACTTGCAAGTGGTAAAAAAGAAAACATTATTGCCTGCTATTAGCCCTGAGGGAGAGGTGAGTGCTCACCAACTTGCTTAGAAAAATCAGTTGAGACTTACCACCTTGTTAGCTTAAGAGCAAATAGGTGAAGGTAAATCAATAACTATGTAATGCCCTACATATGATATCCTCTTTGGGAGTCCTTAAGTAATAATATCATCTTGTTTACATTCTTATTTAGTTAATTATTATGCATGCTTACATCTTTTTGTAGTCTCTTTTGAGCCTCCTTCCTTTTGAGTGCCTTATTTCTGTCTGGCCCATTTTGGCATTCTAAAACTTTGACCCCCACAATTTGGAATGGGATGCCATCAAAACTTAGTCTGCATCCTGTCATCTCCTGTGAGTCAGCCCATTGTATACGGTGGTTCTTAGCATTTTTATCTGCATTTTCTTTTATGTGAGAAGAGGAACCAAGCTAAGTTAGCAATACGATACATGTACACAAACACATACGTACATATGTACACATGGGTGCTTAAAATGGAGGGCCTGAAAATCTAGCCTGCCCCACCCAGATGTAGCCCAAGGACTGGTGTAATGGATGGGGATGCTGGCAGCTGTGTGTCAATAGCACTGAGTAGGGTTTTCACACTTTAAGCTTGATCTTAATTAATTAAGCATTTCTTGCCAACTCTTGCTGCAGGTTCACAGTAAATTGACACTTGAAGCTAAGTTGAATTTTAATTACATGTTAATTTTGAAAGTCTAACTGACCAGGGTAAACCGAAGAATAATGATGTGTACATGTATTTTTAAGATATCAATAATTATTGGAAAAAAGTTAAATCCCTTTTTTTATTTTGATTTATCTATATTTCATGTTAATAACACGATCTCACACGCCCCTGGCTTTAAATACCTATAGTGTCTAAATAAAGTTATACTTCACTTTACTTTACTGTCAGTATGGTTTATTTTGTAAATCTTTACATGTGAGCTTACTTACCCAGCCTACTGCAATTTGAAAATCCTCCTGTTTGTTTAAATACAGTGAAGCGTGTCGTCGTAGCTATCTCGTACTGTTTTATTAGTTCGTCAGCGCTGCTTTCATCGTTAACATACCCGGAATAAGGGTCAAACTGTACGGTCCATCTTGAAGCCCAAGGTGTACTGTTATGAGCCATGTTTGTTCTTCTACCAAACATTTAGATTTCCCGCCAATATTTACCCGCGAGCCGCAAAACATAAATGCATAAGTGTTAAATATTAACTGGACCACCCCTTGGCAAATATATTTATTAGTAGCAAATAAGATGTTGAACAAAAACCAAGAGATCATGGTCAAATAAAACGTAAAGATAATTTATTACAAACAGAAAAGAACTGTATGTTTGTTCCAATCGAAAGATTTTACAGTGCAAAGTTATGCAAATGATCTTTGACCTGAATCTGCTTTTGGTCGATGATAGCGAGGTCAGAGGATAACATCGACCGAAACTATTAGGCCGGTCATATTTAAGTATCGATCCTCCTTTTAACACCTTTATAACAGGCTAGATTTTTTCTTAAATATGTGATCTAGACAGAAATTAGTTTGTACAAGTTATGGGAAGAATACTTTCGCAATAAAATATTGAAGAATACGACGCTTTATCGTCAGTCACACAGGTCACGGTCTCTTGATTCGCCGGAAACGAGCAGAAAAATAGAAGACTCTCGCTACGATTCCGCTGACGTGTCATGGGCTCATCTGGTTTGGGACGATGATATGTATTGCCCTCGGGGTGTTGTCAATTAATCAGATCGACCGAAACCAGGTCGACAACTTACGAACCAGCCAAACATTTCGTTAACAGCGCCATCGATCAAAATGTCATTACACTCCAACAGAAGACCCGCTTTTCTGTTCAAATCTGCCAGAAACTGGCTCAAACGCACTTCCTATTCCATGAGTACACTGTAAAATACGCTTTAACAAGAATAAGCGGAAGTCACATTGTAAACTGTGGATACTCATACAAGATGCCGCTGATATGTCGTGGGCTCATCTGGTTTAGGACGATGTTATATAGTGCTTTCCTCTTAAATCGGGTACGCAAGCTCGTTAGCCTCGTTCGCATTACGGCTTAGCTCCCAGTACCTCCTCTACCTTTCTTCTCGAGAACAACAGAAAGATTGAGTGGCAACTGAAGGCGAAAACATCCGAGACTGAGGAAGAATGAATGCGCGATCGCAAGTTTTCGAGTTATCTGTCGAAGGACGACAGATTGAAGAGGCAATTTTGAGTATTTTTCACTCAATTTTACTTCACAGGACGTCTGGAAAGTTTAACTACAAAAGAGAAGGGTCTTATAGCATAGGAACCGTTGGGATGGTTGATGTTGACTGCGATTTTGTGAACTGCACCTATGTTCGGGTAGATTCGGATGAGTTACATCGTTCCTTGAAAAGACAAGTTGCGGAGTTTAGGGAATCTTTGAAAAGTTCCAACGGCCTAAGGAGCGGACAAATCTCTCTAGAGTTTTATCAAAGAAAGAAAGCTCGGTGGCCTTTCGGAATGGAGAATATTCCGTGGGAAATTTGGACGATAAAATTAAATGTCGTCAGCCTAGCTAACGAGCACGAACGGCAGATCTGCCGAGAAAAAGTCGGCGAGGCTCTCGCAGAAAAAATAATTTGTATTGCTGGAGTGATGAACAGACCAGAGTATGTTCCCAAGATGCCGAATCAGTCAGATGTTGCTAATGTTTTTGATATAAGCTACCCAGACGTTCAACCTTACCTTCATAAGTTTAGTTACCAAGCTTCCGACCAGCCATCTCAGTCTGTGGGGACCACAATGAAAAGACTTATACTAGATACATTCTCCTACTGAAGTATTAGGAAATGATTGTTGTATCAAATATATTCTTGATAACTGATAATCACTGTCTTTAGGTGTATCTCTGGATGAGTGAATGTGCAAACATATAGTGACATACTTTGCATTAATGACTGTGAATATGTAAAATGAATACATGTGTACTCTGGATTAAGAAATTAATACTAAAGGAATCTTTGCAGTAATGAAACTTACATAAACAGTGGTGAAAATTAAGCCTGAAAAAAATTTAGGCCTGTATAGGGTTTGAACACATACCTCTGTGATACAAATGCATGAAAGGATTAATCACTGACTGTAAATTACGAATTAACATAATGACCAGCTTTCAGTTGGCTTGTTAGCTCAGTTGGTAGAGCACTGCACTAGAATTGCTGAGGTCATAGGTTCAAATTAGGAATTGGGACCTGAAACTGAAAATAAAAATTGAGTATTGAATGTAATGATTTGTAAGTATCAAACTGTATGTATTAGTTGAGCATCGAGGAAAGTTTCAGTTCCAATTAGATTTCCCCATACTCACATTTGGCTTCTATACTTTTAGTGATGTTAGCAGTGAGCCTTTGAGGTAGCTCTCTTTGTTGGAATTTTGCCATTTTTTGCCTAAATCCCAGCTTGCTCAATCTAAGAAATCAGATATGATCTGAAATCTAGGGTTTTGTAAGCTGATTGAGGAAGTTCAGCTTCGACTCAACTGGATACCTGCTAAGTTTGTTTTCAATGTGAAAGAGTTTCCCGTAAAGTGATCAGAGTCCAGTCCACTGAACTTTTAACTGTGACGTCATAAACTAGTTTTCTACAGTGTTTGTCTTTTCGTGCACTTGTAAACATGGCTACCATCCGTGAACAAGGTTACACCTTGGAATTAGTTAGTTTACCAGAGACTTCTACGTGGCTGTAGGTTTTCACTAGTAATGTAGCCTTCTGCAATGACAGACCTTTGCAAAAAATTTGGACTTGATGTCGATAAGGCAATAAATCAGCTTCTTGACTACAGAAACTCTTCGACTAAGCAGGTAGGTTTGTTTGCAAATAGTAAAGCTTTCTTTGAGAAAAATTGCAGAAGGTTAAACCAGTGCGGCTCATAGAATTGATTTGGATAGCTCATCAAAACATCACAAGGAATTCTTCTCGATACAGCTTTCGTCTCATTCACCAATTATTTTATACCTGCCAACAAAACTTTTGAGTAAAAATTTAAATTTGCCCATAAAGTTCAGTTTGAGTCAAAATTCATAGCATTTGCTCATTGACCTGCGAAAGGCGGGTCGCTTTCAAATGTAAATTTTTCCAATAGCGCATAGAAAGGAAAAGCAGAATTTTTTATTTGCATCAATAAAATATGAATTAGCATTACGAAGGTCTACACATTTTAGTCTCACACGTTCAGATTTGTCCTCAGTTACTACAAAACTGCTCTTTGTTATAGGGTACATGCGTGTGTATCTACTTTACTTTACAAAACCAAGCGACAGTGATGTTTTGTTGACCAAAATAAACCACTGTTATTATCTTTTCTTTCGTGCAGCTTCAAAAACTGCGACCATTTGTCATAAAATATGAAACCGACCAGTTATTAACTTATGTGGTATTAACCAACATCAAGCTTTTTTAAAATTTTAGTAACTATATTTTTGACGATACCAAAAATAAAGTACAAAATGACAATGATAATAATCATAGCAACAATGAACAAAAATTATATATGCAGATTTTAGTCAACCCCAAGGATTAAATTTGGTTGTCAATTCAGAAATTGAATTTTAATGTCAGCATGAATTCATCCGGCTTCCATTAACGAGAGTGTTGTTGTTTATAACGACAAAGGAAATAGGAAACCGGGTGAATATTTTGGTTACATTTCTCCTCAGATGTTATGCATGATTTCTCCCCCTTCAATCACAAATGCTCCCAGCTTACAATTGATTTTAGTTGCTTTTAGATAAAGGACTAAATAAATGCAACAAACTCAATGGGAATGAAAGTGCAAGTTAATACTAACAGTAACTTTTTCACTTAACTTTCTGCTTCTTTAATAAATAGCTTATGCAGTAATCACACAGCTCTGGTTAAAAAAGAAAAATCCTTATTGTGTACACAAAAACTAAGAAAAAACTGGTTTGAATTGGTAAACTTTGCCTTAGTGAATGTGACAGTGCTGTGGTGTAATCATTTGAAAACAAATGTTATCATTTTGGTTTTTGTTTGATGAAGGAGGTATATTTGAGAGGGAGCCTTAAAGAGAAGATTTATTGGAGCATGTACAGTATTTAAAATATCACTTCCTTGGTTTATGAATAAAGTGATAAATGCAATCACATGGTTGATTGGTTCAATCCCTTTGTATCCTGGTGTTGTTTTGTCATTAATATCATCTACTGCTCTCATGGCCTATTTGCAGATGGAAGTTGTTTCCTTGCCATGTTTTAACAGTACTGATTATAATGATTGACTGGTCCAAAACAGGTTCAGCTTCCTGAGGGAACAATCCGATTATTATGCCAGGTTTCCAGAGAAGTTTTCATGCAAGAGGGTGTGCTTCTAGAACTAGGTGCACCAATGAATATTTTTGGTGATATCCATGGACAGTATGATGATCTTCTGAGGCATTTTGACAATCTAGGTTACCCTCCAGACATTGCCTGCCTATTTATGGGAGACTATGTGGACAGGTATGGCTTAAACATCATTAGTTATTTTAATTACCAACTTTTTAGCATTTTTGTTGACCAATCAGCACCATCTCTCTCGGAGAGAGTAATTATAAACAATTATCTTCCTTTATCCAAATTGTCACCTATGCTGAGCTGCACTAAAAGCAAGCAAATGTTTTCTATTGAGTGTTTTTAAGGTAGAACTAAGTTTCTACAGCTGTTTCAAATCATGTAGTTGTTATCTCTTGCATGATTATAATTTCCAGTGATGTCATCTGTATATCACATGCTGAATTAATTTACTAGCAAAATTAATATTCTAATCTTTAACAGCTGAAATACATCCAGATTGTTTACTGTTTTCTGACTGGAATCACATAATGAGATATCAGGACATGTAAGCAAACCAAAAAACATTACTGCCGATGATTAACATTTCTCAGGCGTGTTTCCCCGGATTTCCTGCGAAATGTACCATCACATTCAATAAATTCTTCAGGTGTCCACTTTTCTCTGAGTTCCACATTTGCTTCCACATTCAGGTGTTGAAAACTTTGGCTTTTAATAATTTGTGTTTCTCAGGGGAAGGAAGTCCTTAGAAACAATATGTTTACTACTTGCTTACAAAATCAAGTATCCTGATAAAATGTACTTGCTGCGAGGAAATCATGAGTCTGCTTCCATTAACAGGTGAATTTACTTAATTTGCAGATTGGTGAATATTACAGATAAAAACAAACAAACAAATCACATAAAGTCAGAGAAGCATTTTGGCCTGAGATGTTTAGCACTGCTGTTTTTGTTATTGGTAGTCCTCTCTGTCGTAACTGGAGAAAGAGGAAAATTTCTTCTCCTTTTGTGGGCAGGGGGAGAGGGGTAGACTGCAGAATCTCTGACTTCCTTTACATTTCACTCCTGTTTTCCTTCCTCTTATTGCACAACATCGCAGATTGACCATTCTACCTTGATAATGTTACTTCTACCTCTAATCTTCCCCCTTGGCACCCTACTGTTTTGGACATGTTTCCCTGCTGCAGGTGTTACAATAAAAGAACATAGGCATGATATGCATACAAGAGTTTAATTTTTAGGCCTGGTGGGTTGAGGTGGGACACTGTGTACTGTAACTCAGTGACGTTTTCTCTTGTCAGGCAATGCCCTCTCTCCCCCATTTTGAAGAGACCAAACAACAGTTGCAAGGGAGGCTGGGCTTACATTCATTCCTCTGTCTGAGATTATTGAACATTGTGGGTTTACTTTTAGTTGCCCTAGGAATATCATCCCATGTAATTTTAATGCAAAATGCAAACAGAAACTCTTTTTCATCTTCAACAGACCCTATATTGTAATCTTCATTCTCTAAATAAGTGAAGATACATTGAAAAAAAGAGAAAAATGTGTGTGAAATGCATGATTAAATGCAGGTTGTTTACAAGGAAGTGACAAGTGATGGGATACAGTTTAAGGAAGCTTAAGGAAAATTTGATTGGTAGAAATTAAAAAAAGAAAGTGTTGTTTGTGTTTCATTTAGTGGATTGAATTTGTTTTTCCTCGTAGAATTTATGGTTTCTATGATGAATGTAAAAGAAGATACAACATAAAACTTTGGAAAACATTCACAGACTGTTTCAACTGTCTACCAATTGGTAAATGCTTTGTTATATTTACGGTATTTTTATTGTTAATTTAAGATTAAAAACTACAGTTCTGTTTTCTAGGTAAAGCACAATTAGCAAAATGCTCCAATTTTAGAGACAGTAATTTGGTAACATTTTCATCAGTTGACAAATAAATACCTAAACCAATCAAACTGCTGAGAATGGTGTCCATTTAATTGATTTATAAAAAATGCTTACTTCAACATTCACAAACGTTTTAACTGTACTTGAACTCTTTTTAGCTGCAGTTGTAGAGAGTACCATCTTTTGTTCTCATGGAGGCCTTTCTCCAGATTTACATGACTTTGATCAGGTTGGTCCATAGCGGCTTTAATTTCAATTGTAATTGTAAAGCATTCCCTTAAATAAAGATATTAAGCCATCAGTAATTGACTCAATTACGGTTATAATTGCTCCACTTGTGATGAGGTTAAAAAAAATGTGTTGAAACCATGAGAATCAAATTGACTCCATGTGCTGAAGAAACGTCTGAATTTGGACTACCTTATGTCTTTACTCATCTGATGCATTTGCTCGTTTGTCGGCAAATTTTGTAATAGTACCGTAGGCACTTCAGAATTTCAAGCGTTTAATTCCTGTATCGTGTGGACGTTTCTGAGCAGTCTTGGTAATCATAAAAACTATTCCTCTGTCAGTGGATTATTTAGTGAAACAGTCATGACAGTAGTTATTGTTGATGTTCAGTTGCGCTCTCTAGAGCGGCCCATGGATGTTCCTGACGAAGGACTCGTGTGTGATTTACTTTGGTCCGACCCAGATGAGGTATAGAATTGAATGAATTTGCATGAGTTTTTATTTCGGGTCATGTTGATGTACACCAATTGACATCCAATCTTCTTTTGGGAGTGGTGTACAGGTTATATATTTATTTCCTGCTAAATTATTGCCTCGGTCGTTTAATTAATGTGGGTTAGGTGTGACATGTAAAGAGTAACACCAAACTTTGTCGATGCAAACGTAAAGGGTCTGAAACTGGTTTGAAAACGCGAGGAAATACAGAAGAAACAAACATTTCTCATGAAAGTTTCCCAATGGAAAAAAAAAAACCTTTTCAGGAGTCATACTCATTTCGAAAATTTTCAATTTTAACGCACTAAAAGGTGTATTTGTGTGGTTACCCAAGTTCAAATAAAGGTTGTCTTTATAAATAATGAACAGAACTTAATACCTTGCAAGGTTACTTATTCATGTGCATTTGGTACCTATAATTGAGAACAATTTTAACAGTTTCCATCGCTAGAAAAGGCGGTGTGTTCTGCGCACTTGCAACAGGCTGTACGTTTATCAGCTGTTATCATTGTACTGTTTGTTTTCCCGGCCGCATAATCTGTAATGCAATATTGAGCTTCAGGAACGGTTGTTATTTGTATTAAATGTTGTTCTCCATCCAATTACGTATCGTTGATACCCTATGTTTATTTATGGTCATTCTCACGAGATTCTTTCTCCCAAATATTTATTCCTAGGACATTACTGGTTGGGGCGAAAATGACCGCGGTGTATCGTGGACGTTTGGTGGTGATGTTGTCCGATCATTTCTCGAGAAGCACGACTTAAGCTTAGTAGCACGTGCTCATCAGGTACACAATAAGACATTTTTTTGCCCAACTCCCCTCGGACTTTTCAGAGCGTAGGTATCTCCGTTTTCGAAGCATAGAGCAGTTTTCAAATGAGTGTCAAAAGGAATCCGAGATTTTATGGGTTCTTTTTCCCCACGCTCTGTGATTGGTCAGAATACTCGCGCCACCCTATCAACCAGTCAGATGCAGTGCTTAAAACAAATCTTTACCTAATTCACGATGTTTTCCCGCTTGTTTCCTCACTGATTTTTAATTGGCTCCGAGTATTATTTCCCTTTGTGTGACTGGCCGTAGTGATTACTTTGGTTTGTGTGCCACGGCACTCGCTCTAAGAGAGCGAAGATGTTGATATTACTACTGGAACAGGAGAACCCTCCCCTCCCTCCGGAAGTAGAGTGAGTGACAGGCTTAGTTTAGGTTAGGCTGTTACTAAGAGGTTCAATTCACTTGATATTTAAGACTAAGAAAGTATTTTGTTTGTTCCCTTACGAAAGTTGTCCACGTTAGCGAGGCAAACGTTGGCTGAGCTTCTGCAGCTCATTCGTGGTGATAATTGTTTGTGGCTTTCTCTGTCTTCTTTTACAGGTTGTTGAAGACGGTTACAGATTTTTCGAGAAGAGAAAGGTAGCCAAACCCGAACGTTTATTGCATGTAAAAGAACGTTGTGAGATCTATAATATTCTTGCATGGTGCCGATGATACTGTTACCCTCACAGTGAAATTGTACGAGGTTGATGGACATTTTTTCTATGGTAACTTATCCCAAATAAGTGTCAACACCAAGTTTTCTATACCAACGTAAACAGTGAACAATGTTTCGTCGGCACTTACTGAAGGAAGTTGCATGTGTAAATGTAGTTGTAGATTGGATGTAAACCTGAGACGAAAAAGCTTTGTCCACTGTTATTTCACTTCATGAGCGTTGTCTGGAATGACAGGCAATTTCATTTCATATTTATTGTCCTTAATTTCCAGCTTGTTACTCTGTTCAGTGCTCCAAATTACTGCGGTGAGTTTGACAATGCTGGTGGCGTTTTGGTGGTCAACAAGAACTTGATGTGTTCTCTAAGTATTCTAAAGGTAAGTTGCAAGTTTTAGCGTTTTTTATTTTTCAATCCCATGCAATCGTCCTCATCCTTTTCAATGGAGTAATGCTCGTGGCTTAAAAATTGTCTTCTACTAATTTTGATGTGGTCTTGTTTCAGCCCGGCAGCCTAACGAATAAAATCAAAGACACGCCTTCTCAGAAGAAAAGTGGGCGCCTTAATCGTTCTTCTAATCGGATTCAAGTTCAATAGTTCTTGTAATTTGGACATTTCAGCACATTTGATGGCAAGCATATTTATGGAGAGAACTTTTTGAATTGAAAGAGCTTCCTTTTGTATTGATGGTCCTTTTTTATGTTATTTATTGAGGTAACTGCCAGAAGGTTATAAAAACATATATTTGTAGATCAAATAAAGCTTTTCATAGCATTTTTTTTACACAGTGGAAATGCGTCATCTTTTTGGAGTATGCACTGTACTATTTTACCTCCGCTATTGTTACAAGTTGCGGAATTTGTTAAAGGACGATCTCATGGCGCGATTGAACAACCGCTTGTGAAATTAAAGGTGGTGGCAAAGAACGAGTTTCCTTACGAATAACAAATTTTCCACCAAATTTTTTCCAAATTGAAGTAAGCTTTTTCCAAGATGGAACAGAATCTCTCTGCATTGGTGTTCCATATTGGTGTGGAACTTGTTCAAATCAGAGCAAGCCTTCGTAATTGGAGCAAGCCTTACCAAATTGAAGCGGAATCTTTCCCAACTGGAGCAAATCTTTTCAGATTAGAAAGAGTCTTAACAAACTGAAGTTTGAGTATACAAAACCATTGAGTTTTCATTGGAATGCAACCACTTGTTCTCGCTCATTATGTCAATTTCAGGCTTTGATTCTTGGTGTCCTTCCAACCAAGTACTTAAAGCTCTTTTGTTAATGTGTGGAGGTGAATGCGGTAGATTCTGTTTGAAAACTCTTCGAAAAGCGGAGACAGTTGTCACATCAACCACTGACCCAACCACTAATATTGAATAGTTAATGGAAGCTCTATGTTACCGCCACTGTCAGCCTGGTGGTTCTGTGATATGTTTTGCTCAATACATGCAGCTTGTGGAACGGCTTGGTCACCCATTGTCCTATTTGGGGGTGCCTGTGCAACACGTCGGAATCGACGACAACACAACATGCGCGAAAGAAATGCGATGTAATTACGACGATACTGTGGGTTCATGACTCCATAAACAACTGGGTTTGTACAGCTATGGAGCCTTGTAAATATATCTGCAACAAACCAGAGCTCCTCATAGGAAACATTTCTGAAATCAAACAGCATCCAAGCGACTTGATTTGGTAATAACAATACCGAGAACGTCAACACAATAGCCGCTACGGTTTTCAGTATTATCACACTCTCTCTTGTACTGTCTTCTCCAGGGATTTTTCTGTTAGTAAATAAATTGCTGTTTCTCGCCAACACCAGTCGATTTCTCATAAAAAGCCATATTCGTAAGTAGCAAATTGCTGTAATCAGCAGCGGTAAGATATACTGTGCTGTGAGGAGTGAGACGGTGTATGCCTGGCGATGAGCAAGGGAAGGCCAATCTTCACAGTTTCCATTTTCTGTTATTTTATTGACGATGATAAGTGGAATAACCAAAATAAAAGCAGCTAGCCACACGAGTGACACCCATATCTTTGCAGCTCTTCGTTTAAGCTTTTGTCTCCACGGCTTTGTAACAATATGGCACCGATGAATCGCCATGGATGTGATAGTGAAAAGCCCTGCATTATACCCGGTTGTAACAACAGTCAAATGTATTCTGCAGTTAAATACATCAGCCTTGTGACCAAAACGACGTAAAATGGCTACAGGCGAATCAAAACACAGCAAAACTAGATCTGCAATGGCCAGACTTGTAACAAATGTTCCATGAATTGTCGTCCTGGCGTTTCTCTTGTGAACTATAATCAGTACAAAGATATTTCCTGTAAGTCCCACGATAAAGATAGTGACCTCAAGGGCAAGTTGGAACCCCCATTTTGTGTTCTCCATTTCAAACATGAATAACTGAGTCTAAGAAGTTAAGTTCTGTCTTCGCCTTTGATCACTTATCGCTTGGTAAGTACTTGTGAGTTTCAATAACTCGGCGAAAGCTTCGTTTGTATCAACAAAGCTTTACTTTCTTCCAGCTGTTATCTTCGAGTTCCTTGATTGACCGCTTCCTAAATTTACACAATGATGTATTTGTCTTTGTTTATCGATGATGGCTCGATGAAAAGTGTTTTCCCGACAAGTGTTGACTGACCATGTTACTCTCTTGATGATACTGTTAATTAAACTAGTACTCTTTTTGTATTTTTCCGTTTATATTTTTCACTAACTATGCCGATTCATCAATAATTCAGAATAATTTCCAAGAGCCTCACTAGCCTCCGGAAAATTTTGGCAATACCCTGGACAAATGTTTCAGATCGTGAAATATGATTGGTCAGTCAACTCACTTAATAGGCAGCTGTAAGGTAACAAGTTCTCCGTACAACCCGCTATTCTTTCTATAATGGCATATTCCATTTTCTTTACCTGCCGTGTCGTTTAATGTCATCTATTGATGCTCGCGCACATCGAGCCTCAGTAATTCATGAAATCTTTCGACTTGTTGAATCCTGTAACAAAAATTCTTCATAAAGGAGTTTTGTTCAAGGTTGTTATTTTAACTACTGGTACATTATATAAAAATGTAGGCGTTGAATTAAGCACAGCGATCAATATTCATGTATTTTACATGTTTCTAAATTAGGTTATGTCGCTAAGACGTAAAGCTGTCCTGTGGAACTGGTTCCGATAACGTATAACAATGAGCGTTAAAAAATGGAATCTCCTTACGTTCAGTCTTGGACTCATGTTAAAGTACTTTGAACCGTGAGCTTGATTAATAGTTTAAATATAATATAACATGTTACAAGAGTCAATGATTAACACACCCTCCAACACAAGGACCTGTTGCTATGGAGATATCTTTCCGGTTAGGAGCAATTGCGCGCTTTCAAAAGCTAAACTGATGGGTGCACTCATTAAATGACTTTAAAAAGAAGTTGTACAAAGGGCAAACCCGAATTACGGCCTTTGGAAAACATTTCATCCCAATTTAAAACGCTAGGAGTCATAATTATGATGAGGGTCTTAGTAATTCACGCTAACACGTCGACGGTAGTATGATTAAAAAAAGGACGAAGATAAATGATAAATTCATAATTTTTTTCCTCTAAAACGCCACCAATGCCATGAGTGGTCTCCTACAACAAGATGATAATTATTGAAGCGCTTGTTATTCATGTTACTGGCGAGTTAAGTAACCATGGCATGACGTCATAACAAATGTATTTACGTCCTTCCTATCCTTACCACAATTAATGCAACTCGCGCAACTTGCATTTTCAAATTAAATTTAAATGAATTTTTTCCTGTCATTGCCTGCTAGGGAGCGTACTCAGTTATGCGTTTATTACGCTATGAAACCCTGCATGATCAAAATTCACGTGTTAGGCGTGCCTTCGCGACAAAGAAATGTTCAGAAGAGTACGTTCGTTCGCGGCATATGTGAAATCGTTGTCTTGCCCGTTGAATCACTGTCGCGTCGTGACTTGGATTTTCTTCGATATACAAATTTCCTCTTCATTAGCATTTTATAAGTTCTTGCAGGAGCCCATTATAAGCTCCTGGTTCTTAGCGTAAAGTGTTACAAGTTTGAGTCACTCAATTTCAATGTAGTCATCACCCAATTTTTCGTTGATATTTTGGAAATAATCCGCGATAAATCGTCTCGGTTATTCAAGAATAAGTACGTTTGATTAGTGCTAAGGAATCCTAAGCAAAGTTTAGAACGAAAACCTCAGTAACCATTTGAATCAGTAAAACAGATATATTATCAGGGAAAGCTACATGGACTAAAATGTATTAGGTTTTGTTTGATTTTTGAGCATTCGCGGTAAAACCGATTAGAGGGGGTAAGTTTCTGAGGAAACTATGGTGCTGTGTCAGTGGGAGAGTATGATACCGTAAATTGGCTTCCGTAAAGAGTTTAAAAGCAGAGGTTTCGAACGCTAGCCCTTCGTCAGAGCGAAACAGCCCACAAAAAATTTGAAAATGTTGGTTTTATCAACTGAGTTGATAATGTAAATTGGCCACCGTATAGAGTTTCAAAGCTGACGTTTCGAGCGTTAGCCCTTCTTCTCTCGCTCTGACGAAAGGCCAACCCTCGAAAACTAAAATTTCCTCAAAAGGAGAATCTGCTTAGCTATAGCACCCCTTCTTGAATCAAAAGCGTTAGCAAGCTCCCTTGGCGCTAACTCTAACGTTTACAGTAGAGCGCATAACCAGGAAGTTTAAGAAGGAACTATATTCCTTGAGTTGTTTCTCGAGATTATCCTTTTTGTATATAAAGTTGATGATGCTCCGCCTAGATCAGGTAATTTGTCTGGCAACCGAGGTTAATCACATGGGAATAACATAGAATAACATAAATTAATCAAGGGATATGGGAAACATTTTGCGTTAAAACGTGTTTAGTTAAAAAGTTTGTGAGGGGGTTAATGTTTTTTGGTCAAACATGGCATGAGTAGCGCCCTTTAACAAATGTATTTTTTTTAAAGAAAATCCTAAGTTCTTGACTCTAACACTGTTCCTTGTAACCACAGGCAAATTGCTCAGTCGTTTCCTGAATTATGCGGTGGCGTTTTCTGCTGGCGTAAGATCAAGGCTCCCAGATCGTCCGCAACCGCAAAACATGCACGATATCGTGCAAAACATGCACGATAAAAAGCTGGCGTAACTACGACGGTACTGTTTGTTCGTGACTCCGTACACAACTGGGTTTAGACAGCTATGCAGTCTTGTCAGTATATCTGCAACAAACCAAAGCTCTTCATAGGAAACATTTCTGAAATCCAACAGCATCCAAGCGACTTGATTTGGCAACAACAACACCAAAAACAAAAAAACAATTGCTGCTACGGTCTTTAGTATCGTTATTGTTTCTCTTGTGTTCTCTTCATTTAGAGCTGGACTTCTGTTGCTGGGATCGTTGTTTCCCAGCAATACAGGCCGCTGTTTCAAAAATACCAGTATTCGAAGATAACAAATTGCTGTTATGAGCAGTGGTAGCATGTACTGAAGTGTCATTAGCAAAGCAGTGTATGCCCGACGGACTGTGAGTGAGGACCACTGCTCTTCACATTTGCCATTTTCTGTTATTCTATTGACAACAATAAGTGGAATAACCAAAATAAAAGCAGCCAGCCACACAAGCGACACCCAAATTATTGAACCTCTCCGCTTCAGCTTCGGTTTCCACGGATTTGTTACAATATGGCACCGATGAATCGCCATGGAAGTGATAGTGAAGAGTCCTGCATTGTATCCGGTTGTAACAACAGACGGATGTACTCTGCAGTTATACGTTTCGGACTCGAGACTGAACCGGCGTAAAATAGAAACAGGTGAATCAAAACACAGCAAAACCAGATCTGCAGTAGCCAGACTTGTAACAAAAATCCCATGTACTGTCGTCCTGGCGTTCCTCTTGTGAACGATAATAAGCACAAAGATATTTCCCAAAAACCCTATAACGAAAATTGTCACTTCTGTTAAAAGCTCGACCCACCAGCGGCTAGAGGCGTTTCCGTGAATCATTCCTGTGCGAGCTTGTAATCTATGTGGTTTTTCTTGTCTTCTCTACCGCCAGTGACAAATGCCTCCACCGTGAAACAAATAACCCGTGAAGAAATCAGTTTCGTGAACGCGATTGAGCAAAATTAATCAATAAAATCAAATAATCTCGAGTTTCAAAGAAACTTCAAGTACGGTTCTAAAACTGAATTTTCGTGAACTGATAGCACCACTGATGACTTCATAGCGAAGCGAAGATCTGTAAAAAAATACATCTCTGTACAATAGTCTGCGGGTCCATTTAGTGTGTGCTTCGGCAAAGAATCGTCAATTTATTGATTTGTCATATCTTTCTTTAGAGCCATTTATCCTTACTTCAATGCAAATATGTCTAGCCTTTCAGTCCTTAATTGTTTCACAGTTTCTTTTTGGTCGTTTTCCGGTTGCCAATTTATCACTGAAGTTTTAATTTCTTTTTCAGTCCTTCCTGCTGTTACTAAAAATTTCACTGCCAGTTCAGAATATTTCAGCTAAATATATTTGCACCTTTCGAGTGCGCGCTATAGGTCAAGTTTTCAAAACCACACTTAAGCTTTAGTCCTTAAGCTCTAAAATGACGCTTCGAATTAATTCTGTCAACCAGACTTAAGCCCTTCTCAGCAGCTAAGCCTGAGAAGGAAATAAAGATCACTTAAGAACTTGTCACGGTGCCTTGATGTAGAGATAAACCACGACAGCCAAATCTCATCTCTTTTTCTACCGACGAATCACTGGGCAAACAAATATAGAAAGTGGCAAATTGAGTCTTTGATAGGCAATATTCCTCAATGTAAGGACTTATTGTTAGAATAAAACTCACACACAGATTATGATTGAATGAGGTATTTTTACAGAACACGGAAAGTGCACTGTGTATTGCGGAAGCTTTTAATGTAATTGACTCGACAATACCCTTTCTATATTTGATTAATTTAAATACAAATCTTGGAGCAAAGGTGTAATTAATCGTCTTCATATGACTTGACCTATTCAAGACAAGAAAAAAACTTGGGTACTGGCGACATGAATTTGCAAGATGCACAAAGTACGTAAAGGACGGTGTACTTTGAACTTTGAGCGAAGAAAATTTTGATCAAAAAACTTTTTACAATTTAAGGTGTTAAATTTTCCTCCAATTATCGCCTTCTAGATGGCTGTCTCAGAACTTCTATCCAAAGGAATTTTTATCATGATTTTACCTACTGCAGTTATTCTTAAATAATCTTGGTCTAGTATTGCTGGGAAAATTAAAAGTTCGCCTCGCCTTTTTAATTTCGCTTAAATTTGGGAATCAATTTCGCAGATAAATCTATCATGACGTTTTCTACTTCAGATAAATGAATATTTCATGCCTATGACAAATCGAGTTCTGGTGCTCTAATTGGGTTTGTGAAAAAAGGTTTAACCTTTTCTTTTCCTCAAAATTACGAAATCATTTTAAATAGATACTCCGTCTTGACTTTTTACACTACAGCTGTCACATCACGCAGAACTCGGTCAATTCTAATTACATTTATTTAAATTTGTCCCTAAGGGTAAGATAATAATTCAGCATCCCCAATATGAAAACAAAGTGCCAAAGCCCTGTTGCTGAGGGCGATATCTTTCATACAAGTTTTTCCTTTAAGTTTTGGTAATTTCTCTCAATTCGTTGAACATAGAAAAAGAGGCTGCAACATCTCAAAATATACAGAAATCCAATTAAAATCCCAACAAAAATTGAAACCGTATATGTGTTCTGAAAAAGACGTGATTCTTTTTTTTCAGATTTAAATTAAAAAAGGGAAAGAGAAAATCCTGAATGTTCGAGAATATACAGCTTTCCTCTAAGCGCAGCACGCATTTAGCTTTAATATTCATAACCCTAAGTGCTTTCTTAATTTTGTATTGCTTTAGCGTTTAATAAAATTATCATTCGGCCAAATTGCCGATGAATGTACGCAAATAATTATTCATTATTCTATCCAGTTCGTCCCTGAACTTTTCCAAATATTTTCGTTCAGAAAATGCCTAGGTTTTATCTAACACCATGAAATTTCGGAAGAGGGTATCAATTTTTCAATAGGTTATGGAACTCTTAATAATCACTTTAAACAGAAATTGATACGCTGATAACTAGATTCTCATCGTAATAGCCGGTGATTCACAATTAATACCAGCCTCTTGGAAACAAAATAAATATTCAGCATGCTAGCAATTCAAAGAAGGTTGCTTTCGTTAACGAACTGAAATACAACGTGAAGTAGATCTTCTTTCACCCATTCAGGAGAACTCATTCTTTTGTTTTATAGCTAATGGTAAATTTAATTTCAATCAGTGTGAAATAAGCTGCATTAAACAACCATCGGTGAAATTTCCTTCTTGTTCTTAGAATTCGTGAAGATTTCAATTTCTGTTACAAATACTGCAGCTGTCCAACCCCTCAATTTTGAAAATTCGAAATCACTTCACCAAAATGAATGCTAGTGATCCAGGGTTAAGCAAAACTTGAAAGCATCAATCATGCCAAAAAATTGTGGGTAGTAGTTTTTTTTTTGAAAAATGTAATATCATCAAACCAAATTACATTTTGAAGAAAAACCTTTTAGAGAGTCAAAACTCCGGGGGGTTTGAGAAGGCTTCATCTACTTTTCTATCCAGTTCAATTTAAAACTCTTGTGACCTTGTATCTCCTATGAAGTGATTGTAATTCTTGCTTCTATGCACTGTAAATGTCCTTGAAAATTACTAAAGGGAATTTGGTAATACATAAAGACACCAACCTGTGACTGTTGTATCATATGCCTATTCTCTGGTGTTAAAAGAGGCCACACCTCAATCACTTCATAACCTCTAAGGGTAGGAGAGGTAACCCTTTACACCCTAACATCAGTATGCATATTCATCATACCATTCTGTGTATGTTAATTGTAAGGTGCTGACAAGGAAAATTTGTTAACAATCAGGAGCTACTTTAGTAGGTGATTGTCTCCTTCATTCTTGTGACCTTAATTTACAAATTACAGTGATATCACTGAATACTACAAAGTATTGCTATATCTTACTTCCTCTCAAGTAATAATAGTAATTTTGCCAAGCTCAAAGAGGAGCATTTGCTTTTGTATTTGTTTTTCTGGTGGGGGAAACATCTATTTGTTTGAAGGTTGCACAACTCCTATTTGAGAAGAGCTTAGCTTTTGTTCATAAAAATCCATATTCCTTACACCCTGAAGGCACCGATTAAATACCTAATTTTCTAAGGTTAACATATTGTCTCATTTTTATTTTTGTTGTTATATTTCATTGTCTCAACAATATTTCTCCCCTAACTATACTGGATCTACCAGCACACTGGAGAATCATTTAAATAAGCAATATTTCTTTTGAAAGATGTTTAGTAACATGCAGCAAGTTTTCGAGTGGGGGGGCTATTTTTGGCTCTGTTATTTTTGTTAAATAACTTTTTGTTTAATTTAAAAGAGTGGGGGGGCTACAGTCCCCCAGCCCCTCCTCCTGCATGGTTCCTGCGTAGTACTATTACAGTTTTTAGACACTGATGACTAATCATATTGTAATACTATATACATTGATTAGTCGCATGATCCATCTTTCCACCCATCAAGCCATCGCTCATCAACCTTTGAACAGTCAAATTCTTTTTTTCCAAGCCTCCTGTTTACTTCATTGTGCATATGGCACATCCACTGACAAAAACTGTATCTGTTGCTTGTGTCAGGGGGGTGAGTTTGTAACCTAAATAAAAAAAAAAAAAGAAAAAGAATAAAATAAATAAATAAAGATAAACAGTACACAATTTTCAGTAAAATGAAAAATCCAATGCTTGTATGGCTGCACTATGACAAATTTACCTTTCTCTAAGATGTGAAGCACAGTCTTCACAAGGATAAAATTTGGAAAATATTTTTACAAAACTAGCCATGTCATTTTGTTGTTGTTGGGAAGGATTGTCTGGATAATATGCAGCCATTGTGTGAAGAAAGTTCCATGTTGATCGGCCAAGTTCTTGCCTATCGAGGGGACACTCTACACTGGATTCATCCTGAGATGCTGAGTCATGGCTTTGAGACGAGTTCTTGTTATTACTCTGGTAAAAAAAAATAATAAATAAATTAAAAAATTCAACTTGTAAGAAGAGATAATTTCATAATACTAGAAAGTGAAAAACGGTAGAAAAGGAAAGGTAGAAAAGGAAATTTATAAGGAGAGAAGTTAAAAAGGAAGAGATGACAGGGGAGGGGTGACAGGAAAGATATTGGGGGGGGGATGAAGAAGAGAGAGGAGTGTCTAGGGAAGAATGAAATCAGAAAGGATGTCAGGAGGAAGGGGGGGAGGGGGGGGGAAACAAGAGGTTGTCATTCAACTCTACACTCTGACCACAAAGACCATAAGAGGCCTTAAAACAACAAGTTGGAGGTGTTATACTACTGCATTTAGCTCGAGTAGCACGGAAAGGGAAAAACACTGATCAATGTAGTCAGGCATCTGTTTAACAGGTCTTAACAGTGTCCCATTGATAGTTACGATTATGCTTGACTGAATATTAGCTGTTCACTATCCTTGGAAAGGTTAATGAGCAACCGACGGCTATTTGAGTGGAGCCGTAATTTCTTACCAAAATCGAATGTCACCTATACCGGTAGCTATGCATGCGCTCGCATAATACTGTGGAAACGCTTTTGGTGATTTGAAATAGCTTCTGATGAGAATTGGGTTAAAAACTAAAATTAAGGGATTATTCGAGATTTCTGAGAAGAACTAAACCTAAAATTTGGGACAATCGAATAAAATTTGTGCATGTGTAATGATGATGTAACCCAGGTGATGTAACATAATTTCTCCTTCACATCATGATGATGTTCTTCTTTCAAATATGTTATAGCTCTGATTCTTTTGATTTTGTAATGATCTAAAGACCTTACCATAGTACTTTTGTTTCTATTCCCTTGATTCATCCATGACTTGAAATCTCTACATGCACGACAGGGCTTTTTACGATGCAGAGGAGACATGTCTTCGTCTGCCATCTTGACGGGGAATAATCAATACGTCATGTAAGAGCACATGACACAGCACTAACGAACAATTTGTGCGCCCGCGTTCCTTAGTACTGGGCAAACGGTAACAAAGGGCGGCTCCGACAGATCTTTGAGTTAGCTTTATGCCTTCCAATAATCATTATCCTTATTTTCTTCTTGGGGTTTACCTAACGCTATTAAAACCCACAAAATGTTAGGCTTTCAGTCGTATCACCGCGGTCTCTTGGTATCTCGTTGCTCCACGACCTTGTTTACGTGAAGCTAACGAAGTAAGTAACCAACATGTCACAGCCTTCATCCACAAATGCCCTTTTATCCTTCTTTTCTCGAGAGTTAAGCCGACTTTTACACGCATGCCATTGTGGACGTTAGCCGACGTCAATTTTCTCAGATTTGCATGACGACGCTATTTACGTACATCACGGTAATTGCGCAGTTTCACTTTCTACGGATAAATTATACGCGTGTGTGCACGTTATGTATCGGTAGCAAAAGTGGGGCCAAGATATATAGATGTAAGTTATCTTCACACTCCCAAATTATATTTTAACCCTAGCCCAGTCGGATCTTCATTGTTGCGTAATTCCATCTACATGCGTCAGCGGCCATTTGTTTTTGACCTTCCTCACCTGAACAGAGGAGAGAGTACCCACATTAAAGATATATTTCCGTAATTGATCTCTGCATAGTTCATCTTATCATATTTCGCTAAATGAACTAAATATGCAAAAGTGAGTTTTTATATAATGTAGATACGTGAGACGCGTCTGTGGAAAGAACGGGAGTAATTTTTGTCCAAAAATAATTCAAGGTGTTCGTGCACCATTGCATTCTATTTTTCGCGCTTTAAACACTGCCGCACGATGATGTTTACGGCAGTGAAGCTCAGCCTTAAGTGTGTCTGAAAATTCTAAGAAATTTGATATATCACGGGCGACTCAATGTGGCAGCAATTTCTCCTCAGTAAAATATTAGTCAGTAATACACCTTCTCATAAAAACTTCCGTCGTTTCTGCAATAACTTTTATGGTGAACTTAAAACTGTTGACATGGTAAATGATTCAATTGTTTCCCAACACTTAAACGCAGGATAAACTCGCCAATTTTTTTCTAGAATGAAATTGACACCCGGTAAGCATCATTTTTTACCACTGCCTAAATAGAGCGGGCAGAAGTCACTTATTTGTATGAAAAATCTAATGATTAAAATATTTTAAAAGAGATTTGACGCAAACATTTGAATAATAACCGAGATAAACACTTTCCACATTACGAATTAAATAGACTTTCTATTGTCTGTACACCAGCAGCTGCTGCGACAGGCAGACGCAACAACCATTTAAGTTCGAAAGTGATATGCATCGGCAACCTAATTAAGGGATGTTTTATAAATGGGCGGTCTGTGTACGTATACATAATTTCGATCTTCTTCTCGCTGGAGGATACGTAATAAAACGACAGCGTTTGTAAGTGAAAAAAGCAATACATGTATTTTTTTCGCGCAAGCCGGTTTAACCAAATTAATTTACCCAAAATAAAGAGAATATTTAATTAATTTGAATTTTTTCGCAAATATTCGTTTTGTGTGAATGTGATTCACGCGCGACATTTTTGGCCGACTTCCCTGCGGCAACCATTGTGAAGATTTTACACAAACTAGCAACGAACTGAAAAGGCGGAAAAAAACTTTGGACTCACCATGTCTTAAAAGCCTGCATAACACAGTAAGAAGGTCAGCTTTCTCAAACATTGGAGATGCAAGGTTAGCTGTTGAGGAGTGTTTGGGTCTGGTGAATAGCTAAGATAACAGAAAAATCTTTGCGTTCTGTAATCTACATCTACTTGTTATCATATCTACACTTCCTTATTCACAGATAGTATCGTTACCTGACTTGTTTCGCAACTTATTTTGTGGGCGTAGAACACATTGTAGTAATGGTATACTCGTAAGTTTGTAAGCGTGGCTGCAGCACTGAAAACGTGACACTTGTACGGTGAATAAGTTCTGGGCAGAAACGATTCACAAAACGGACACATTGACCACGATTCTTTAAGCCTCGCAATGAAGAAGAACCTGCAATGGTGGACCGAGGTTGCAGTTATCATAACACTATTCATCATAGGGCTTGTAGGAAACATACTTGTTCTTATCATAGTTAACGAGAGAAACGCTAGGAAGACAATTCATGGAACATTTGTTACAAGTCTCGCCATTGCAGATTTGGTTTTGCTGTGTCTGGATTCGCCTGTTTCTATTTTGCAACACTTCAGCCTTACGTCTGAAACATACAGCTGCAGAGTACATCTGACTGTTGTTACAACCGGATACAATGCAGGACTTTTCACCATCACTGTCATGGCGATCTATCCGTGCCATGTTGTAACAAATCCTTGGAGGCCAAAGCTAAAACGAAGAGGTGCAGTAATATGGGTGTCCTTCTTGTGGCTGGCAGCTTTTATTTTTGTTATTCCACTCATTGTTGTTGGTAAAATAACAAAAGATGGCAAATGTAAAGAAGATTGGCCTTCCCTTGCTCATCGCCAGGCATACACCGTCTCACTCCTCACAGCACAGTATATTTTACCGCTGCTGATAATAGCAATTTGCTACATACGAATATGGCTTTTTATGAGAAATCGACCGGTGTTTCCGAGAAACAGCAATTTATTCACTAACAGACGGATCCCGGGAGTAAAAAATACAAGAGAGAGTATGATAATACTGAAAACCGTAGCAGTAATTGTTTTCTTGTTCTCGGTATTGTTGCTGCCAAATCAAGTCGCGTGGATGCTGTTGGATTTCAGAAATGTTTCCTATGAAGGGCTCTGGTTTGTTGCAGACATATTTTCAAGGCTCCATAGCTTTCTAAACCCAGTCGTTTATGGAGTGATGAATAAACAGTACCGTCGTAATTACGTCACGTTTTTAACACGCGCCCTGTATTACGGTCACGTGTCACGTGTCGCGCAGGCGCCAACATAGGATGAAAGATACATAGTTTATTCACTATCGCTCAGAAACTAAAAAATTGAATTTCACGCTTATTAAAAAAGACGATATCAATAGTAGCATTAAAAAGAAGTATCAGTGGTATAAAGCAAGTTTTTATGGAAATATGTTTGTACATCTGTTACGGTGATAAATAATATATTTCGATTAAATATAAAATTCTGACAAAATAATTTAGGCTTTAAGGGCATTAAAAGTGATAAAACTGTTAAGAAAGATTTCTGTCTTGAACACGGGCTTAAACTTCTGTTTGTTTCTAAAGTTCAAAGTACTTGTGCTACGAACAGGAAGAAGGTCATGGAGCTCACACTGAAGAAGTTATTGAATAATTTATAAAATAGTTCCTGACGGCGATCTGAAATTTATTTAAGTCTGATTCAGCCAATGCCTCATTCTATGAGCAAAAGGGAAAGATGATGCGAATTGCTCGCTTTTGTTCTCCTTCATTCTCGTTGGAAAGGTGCGTGGGGAGACAAGACATGCATACTCTGTGATCGGTCAAATACAAGTGCAGAAAAACTGCTCTAACTCACGGGTACCCAGACCAGATCGTTTAAGTTATGTCACATTAATGATTTATGCCACTGGGGAGTCACGCGTCTTTTGCACTCGTCTCACGTCACTGATGTCACCAAAAAGAGAAAAAGAAGAAACAAGAATCTAACAGCTGAGTGATCTCGTCATAGAGATAAATATGCATTCACAGGGGCTATAATTCAAGGTGACAGAAACACACAAGCCTTTTTAAAATCCTGGAAAGAAAATAGCTGGCTATTTGCAGGATCAATTTATATCGGAAACAATAGCAGAAGTAAAAAGACTTTTTACAGAAGAAGTGCAGTTCTAAAGAAGTAGAGGTTAAGATTCATTTTGTAGACTACAAGCAGTCCGATCTTTTCGGCGAAGTCCGTCGCGCGAGGAAAAAAATCTGTGAAAAGAAAATGATTTTAGTGTGCCACGGAACTCTAGAAGTGAGGTACGCAGACATCAATTATTTTTTCCACTGATCATTTCCCTTTACTTGCGCGCTGGACTTCGGCAAAAGGAGAGACTGCTCGTTGTCTATTCCTGCTCAAACCTGATTGAAAACTTTGCACGACTTGTATATTATTTGTAACGATCACTCGAAGCTCTAATCTTTGACATAAGCACCATCATGGTATTAACTTGTTCATAATCCAAAAGCAATGCAATACCGTTCTCTAATCTATTTATTAGTGTGCGCTCGTCTGGCTCAGCAAATTTAGACAAGCATATATATGAGAACTTAATTGTCAACCTTCTTGTCTTATATCTTAAATGTACATAATGTTTGTTGAGTTAAATCTGGTTTCAATATGAGTTATTTCTTTAACTTTCCAAATAAAATTAACTCATTGATTCGTATATTTCAGTTACATCTGTTGATAAGGGCTAAATTTTGAAGATATTATTTTCAACCGAAGTGTTAACAAAAATCTAAATGAACGCAAATTGTAACTACATTACAATCACTTTATATAAATATTCCTTAGAGTTCAATATTGAAGCCTTGATTTTCCTGTTTCATAATAAAATGGCGCATCGGTGAAGGGGAGTGGGATTTATAATAAATTGTCTTAACGCCCGGATATGGATTGATTCTCTAAAATGGAAAAGCGGGGCTATACGACTCAATTAAATACAAAGGGCTCAGGAGTTCTCCGGTATAAACTGATGAATGATTCATTCATTTTTCTTTTCAATATCTTTTCATGAACTAATCTTACTTCGTTACAAAAGCTATTACCTTTCGCCTTAGTCTCCCTGCCGACAGGCATCTAATTTTTTCTTGGTTGACATTTTTTTAAAACAAGTGTGAAACAAGAGATTAAGGAATAACTTTAAAAAAATCGTGTTCCCGACTGCCTGACCTTTAAACGTTGTCCTTAGCTCGGTGAAACTCAAATTAGTCTCTTATATCTTAGTTTATTCCAATCATTTTACCCGACTCAGCGCTGTAAAGTCGAGTTCAAGTCCTCTTGAGGCCTATAAAAAC